CCCTGGAGTTAATGATGGATTTTGTTCCAACGTTACGTAATAGTTGATAATCTTACTTTTTTTTAAAATACGACTTGAAGCAAACTGTATTTGCGCAAGACGTTCCTTGTAAAAATAAGACAATAGATCAGACTCAAAATTCTTTCTAATAAAAAGAACAAAGCAGGAGATAAACAACACAAGTGAAATTGAAAGCACTGTTAAACATTAAAAGAAGAATTATGAACAAGAATTTTTCAAATGTTCGGGTGTGTATCCAACACCATTGCACGATATGACTGAAGATCCATCATTCGTGATTACTTCGAATTTAACCTGCATATAAACAAAATATATTTTGAACATTAAGTACAGAAATATAAATATGGAAAACAAATACGCCAGGATAACAAAGTACAAGCTCTTAGGCAAACTGGATTATCTTAAAATAGGTACGATGATATTAATATCAGTACTTAGGAATCGAGATCTTGGACGAGGATTTTGCAACTCAGAAACGATGACGCAATTAGAATTTATGCGAAACTGAAGCATTATATTTTAATTAACCATTCTAGAGTAGAATCGTATTTCATTCTGTTTGAGAATAATAAACTGTTACAAGAAGTTGTAGTCAGTCAGCTACAACGTAGGACCAGGCACATATATGCATTGGTCCAATTTGCTATACCTCATTAACACAACAAGATGGACACCGGATTCATAAAAGTAGTTAATTCAGAGGTGGTAATATATAAAAGAAAGATTGCAGTAAGGATATAGTACAGGAAGAAAGAATTAATTCGTAGAAAGAAAGATATGAAGCGATTTTAATCTCTCTTCGAACAGCAAACGAATGAAAATCTATAAAATAAGATCTATGAATAGAAATTTCTCGTGTTAATGGCAAAATTTACTTGATTAGCAATAGTTTAATTGGAATAACCACAATGAATCACTGTTATGCTTTAAGACAGTGCAACTATTAATGGCATTTTAATCACAATAAAAAATTAAAGTAGTCACCATCTATTGTTTAGATAAATGCCTGAATACCGGGGTTAAATATTGGCCAACAAACAAAAGTTAAACTATTAGATTTAGATTTGAAAATTTTAGGCATATTATTCACAATACAGTCCCTTTTTTGAAAATTTAGAAATTTACCAGTTAATACGTATGGAAAAAACTTCACAATATCTTAAGAAATGAAAAATAATAGATTGACGTGATCTTTCGAAAACGATGTAGTTTATATCTATATATTAATTGAAAAGTTTATTGGTGAAAGTTAACTGAAACTCACCGAACGGGCTTAAAGGTGATATTTTTGTCTAGTTCTTTTCTACTGTCAGAATAAATGGACCATAAGTTTATGGTCTGTTTTTTAAGATATCTTTATATGGCTATGGGTAAAAAAGTATATTCCACACCACATCAAGCTAATAATGGTGTATTTCTGTAAGACAGATCCAGATAGAAAATTACTGGTATTGTATTCTAAGTCCAAACACCATCTTACCTACTTCATCGTCGTGGGTTACTGAATGGTAATGTTAGTTTACTCTCATTCAAAGTGTCAATCAAAATTTAGCACACAAATTTAAGCTTGGCAGCGTTCAAAATTAATGTCATATTTAATTAGCCAAGTGATACAAGTCATATTCATAGGTGTATTATAGAAATAAAAGTACTTACAATGAATACATATTCATCAACGAAATGAGTATTAAAAGCAAGCTTTACATAATTAATGTGCAGTACTACTAAATAACTTACACCAAGTAAGTGTTCCGCAACGTATATTGCAGTCTTTGTATGTAATGTCAACGGCCCGCAACGTATTTGTGAATTTCCCTTAGCTAAAGCCATAAGCATTATAAGCTAAAACAAAATAAGGCAATTAAACTAATACATCCACATCAATAATGAGAACTAATAAATTTAGCACGTTAACCTAATTCTTGTAATGAACAGCTAACCATATAGTAGGAAATTTTCAGATCCGATTAATTTTATTAATAAAATAGTGCACTCGCAATCAAAATGTTCAAAAATCACCATTTCCCTTTTTTATTGAACAGATTTTTCTATTTCGTTTCAGTCGGTCAGTCAGTACGTAGAGCACATACATATCGATTCAAGCTGCCATACCCCATTAGCACGGAGAGATAAAATTGTCAGGCCAAATCTCAGAATAGGAGAGGTAGTAGTAACAGTATCAGTTGTAATAGTAATGATTAGGCATGGAAGATACGATTCGAGAAAATATAAATTAGTAAAACAAAAAACGTTGGGGAATTTAGAATTTGGAGGAAGATAAAGAACGGATGCACCTGGGTCCCTGCAAACGGTTTCGATCCATACCACTCAGTCTCTAACCATTGGTTAGGATAATCACGCGGACTCCAACCAGGTATTCCACACCTATTAACATGGCTTAATCCAACTCTCAGTGACTTTAAAGACCGTTGACATATTTTGGTTTGGTCGCCCCTAGCTTTCTTCCAGCATACTACTACGCCAGACAAAATCGCCCGTCAAGGTAGGCGAAAGTCGGGCATATGAAGATTTATGGCTTAGCAAGCGATCTGCTGTCTTCACAAAGTACTCTATTCCTAAACCGGGAACTGCTTACTCCGTGGTTCCAAAATACACAAGTAGTGCTTCGAAGGCACTTATGGTTGAATACCAGGAGCCTACGAATATCCTTAATTCTTTATGGCCATGATTCATACCCATAGAGTAGAACAGGAAAAACTGACAGGTAGTAAACTTGTTCTTTGGTTGGTACACGAATATTTCACCTACACCACAACGTTGGTAAGAGCCAATCGAGATTTCGTCAGACAACAGACCATCAGCACACGATATGTGAAACGGTCGATACGTTCAACTACTTCCCTCCCTATCATTAATTTAGGCGCTAACGCGGGTCAATCCTGAAGCAACACTTTGCATTTGGAGGGATAGAGTAGCATCCTGAACATGCTGGTATTCTTGCCTAAAATGGTCAAGTATAACTATATCTTTTGCGTATTTCAAGTCAACAAGTGAATCTCCTGGTAAATCAACCCCAAAATTCAGACGATAAATGTTTTCTCTAAACGCACGTATATGACACAATTAGGTAAAAATGGGGAATGTGAACAGCACTGACGAACACCATTTGAAGCAACCAATTCTGACAACAGTTCGCCATAAGCTCTGATTCGACCAGTAGTGTTCGAGTAGAGAGCCTGTACAAAGTTGATGTACTTCTTTGGTACACTTTTCAATGATAGACTGCCACAGAACCTCCCAATCAACAGGGTCGAACCTTATATTAACGTCGAGAAATACAAATACTGTCAGATGTCGAAAAGTATGTTTATATTCCAGAATCTGCTGAAGCATGAATATTTGGTCCATACATTAAAATCCACGTCCGAAATCAGCCTTATTTTCTTGGGTTTGCTATTTATGAGCTCTATTTAGGCATCGAAGTATTATTTAAGCCAATATTTTAGACACTGTATTAGCTAAACTGATTCCTCTGTGATTGTCATAAGGAGATTTTCGCCCTTTCAGAGACCGAAACCAGTCAGATTGGATTATGTTCAGATTTCATATTCTAGCTCAGATTTCAGTTAATCTGACTGCTAAAACTGGACCATCATCCTCTCAGGGGTTAGTCCATAAGGCTCTGATGCCCTCCTTCACTTTAGATCTCCTGTAGCCTTTGCGACCCTACTAAGAGTTGGAGGACATATATCAATTTGCCATTCCTATTGCTCGGAGATAGTGGGTAACTGAAGTATGACTGAAGGCCAGTTGAACCATTCCCTAAACTGTTCTGCTCATAGGTCCAATCTCCATGGTTAAGAGTGAATAATAATTCCATGTTTTTCCGAGATACTTTTACTAACAGACCGATTTTTAATATCGTTTCCTTGATAAATCTGAACAGTTGTCTACTGTTACCTATTGCTGCTAACTTTTTCATCTCTTCTGCTTTCACTGCTCACCGCGACTCATTCAATTTGCAATGAAACAGGAAAAGAGCGTTACACAACCGACAACTTGAAATTACAATCACACTAAAAATATCTCGAAGCTTTTGTTTTTTTTACCGTACATGCTACACATATAAACGTTAACCAAATGTATCAATGATGTCAAGTGGATTTATGAATATGGCACTAGATGATAACCAACGGAGTTCATATTTGCCGTACTAGCGCCAGAGCTTCATTGTCGATTGAAATTATTGTGACCCTCTCAAAGAATAATTCACTACATAGGTATCTATGTCAAAGTTGAACTTGATAGTTTCAAAAAAAATTGAGCATTGGGTAGGAAGTTAATAATAAATATATTTTTGTTCTATCCCAATGAGTAGAAAGGTTTCGTGACTAAATGTAAGCCACTTCTTCAGAGTCAATAAATAACCGTATTAAATTAACAAAATATATTTATTAATAATTCACTACAGATATATATCCTATCATAGGAGCTCAGATATACAAATATCGAAATAATGATAAACCTATCTGAAAAATCTTATTGATAGAATGTATATTATTCACCATTAGAATCAGTATTGACTTGATGTTAGAATACATAGTCAGTAACCCCAACAGTACATAGGATATTCTGTGTTTTTATACATGGAGTTGGACTTAGGTGAGAACGAATTCGTTGTCAAAAATAAAAAAGCGTCAGTACTGTTAACCGAATAGATGATTCTGAAGTTTATGCATGATAAACACACCTGATCTTGCATATAATCGTCACAACATACTCCAATTTTGGAATAGTTATAAAGTGACTGACAGGCTTCTGAGACCATTTGCCTATAATGATGATCTCGAGGATTAATAATTCCAGTAACGGCCAAACGGCAATCTGTTGAAGTATGCATAACGAACCTAGTGTAGACAGACAAAATTTTACATGAATACAAAACAAATTTACCTTAACGCTTGCACATATACACATCCTATAAGGACTAACAACTTATCTTGTGCTATGTGCTGAGTACAGAAGAATCTGTTAGGATTGACCTTTCTGTTTAACTATCAGTATAGGGTTATGGAGGTAGTTGTGCTGTAATTAAAATCATGAACTGATTAATGTTATACCACTACTGGGAACCTGGAAGCACTAGACAGGCGTCTTGTCCTAGTATAGGACTCATCAGAGGTGCCCACGATCCTGTATATGGGACGCGAACCCAGGACGTTTGGTCTCTAGACTACTGAGTGGGCATCCAAAGGCGTTAATGTCTAATTTCAATTAATCTATGATATTGAGCGATCACCTTTCTGTTTAAGACCAGATATATTAACGTTAAAACCAAACTGTTTTCTGATATTCATATTGACATTAAATGACTAAGTACCCTCCAATTTGTATCTATAAAACGCTGTATTGAATTCATTTGGACGAATTTGAGAAATGCATTATTAATCGGGTTTACTCTAGCGTAATATAAGTTCACATTATACTCCAGGTTGAAATCAACGATGCAACTTGCTGACGATTGCCAAATAACTTGAACCCTGGGTTTACCGTTCTCTGTTGATAACTTCCAACCACCTAACGACAAAACATAGTTCACACAATGCGGAGTAGTCAATGAGACTAGTGATCACACTGCGATCTGATCGATAGAATGCGATCAGCACTAAAAGACAAGATAAATATGGCACAGGTCAGCAATCAATGGTCGATCAATGGTGAAAATGTGTCATTGTCACGGATCAGCTGCTGCTCGGGTAACTCAGTAGTAACATCTCAGAATGAGTTGGGTGACGTAGGACCAGACCTGCCGGGCAGCACAATTCTTTCAAAGACTACAGGTACATTCCGTTGACGAGTGCCAAGTAGCATGAAACTTTTAAGTAAGGCTTCCTGCCAACTACCTCCAACCACACAACACCTTTGTTGAAAAATTAGTCAGTATGTTTTGAAATGATCAGCTAAGCAATTTCATCGAAAATTCACCTCCAATTACTGAAAAGCACTTTTCATGTTCTTTTTTTCTACGACTAAATGAGGCACCGAAAATCAAAATTGAGATATAATTACCGAACTGAAACTAAAGGATAAAACAACCAGATTTATTAGAAATATTTCAGCACCAAGCATGTTGGATCTATGTAGTTTACTAAACGTGAGATATACACGATGTCTTATCCGACAGACACAATCGACATACAACCTGGGAAAGATGTGCGTTTGATCAGGTTGCTATACCTAATTAGCATGAGATGGAAATAACGAGATTGAAATAATGCAGTAGAAATGATAGGAAGTCTAAACTTCAGGGATATAATTTGGAAAGACAGCGTAAAGAGTATACCTGGAGAAATACTGGAATTTTAGATCGAGAGGTTAGAGTGAATGTGCCGTTGACAATGATTCTGATGTATCATCCAGTATCAAACCACTGACTACGGTCATAGCGGGCACCCCAATCAAGTTGTATGCATTTACTTGCATGTCTCAATGATCTTAGGAATTAATGACACGTTTCGATTTGGTCGCTCCTAGATATCTTACAACATGCTTTTGAGCTAGCAACCATTGGTCATCGAGGTAGACGGTGGTTAGACATAGTCGACATGTCGTAACCACCTTAGTCCCTGAAGATCCACTACCTTTTCAACCGATTTCCTACCTATGCCGAATATCCTATACCTCACCTCATCATCGCACATTCAGTTGTTCAAACAACCTGAGCAACGTTCCAAAGAAACCTGTGATCAAAAACCTTTAGCCTACACTTGCCTTCTACTTTCACAGACCACGTTTCACAGCCACAAAGTAGAGCACAGTAAATCGCTACTCAGTGTAACACCCTTTTGTTGGCAAACGCCAAAGGAACCCGCCGAGATTTCGTCAGATATCAACTCTTAAGGGCTGATCATACTTTCAAGATAAGTGAAGTGGTCGATATACTCAATTACTTCACTCAGACGTTAACCCCGATCAGTCGTGAAGCAATATTTTCCATTTAGAAGAGGGGGATCGCATTTAGGACAAACTTGCGTTGTTCCTTAAAGGGTATTTAAAAGACTATACTTTGTCAGAGTCTTGACCAAATAGGAATGAGCCGTCAATGTACTTTATGTCTATATGAAAACCTCCTTAGATGAAGATGATCCTTGAGAAATTAGTAGAAAATGTTATTTCAAGGAGGACATCGATGATCAGATCAAACAAAATGGGACAGCCAGCAGCCTTAACGAAGATTAATTAAGGTGGGGAGTTCACTCTAAGCTTTAACTCCCAGTCAGTCACTCCGTGGAACCTGGTACATATTTACTGCTCAGTGTGATAGATAAACGAACATACTAATGACAAAACTAACCCACGACCACCACCACATCAACATTGTATGACTATGCATTGTTTATTCAGCAATCATAATTTTTATGTTTATCACAAACGATATTAGGTTTGTTGACTCATTTTCCCTATCCTCTTGGGAGTCAGCTCTCCATCTCAAAATGCTTTCACATGGTCATGCGTATACAGCCACTGCCTTCTCGTGGTGTTGTTTACGAAATTAAGAGGACGAAAAGCGAATGTCCAGGACCCACCTACGGGAGTTAGAAAACCCTGCTTCCAAGCCAATGGTGAATATGGGGTTTAGGATCCTCGGGTAACAAAGGGCGTACGAACCAATTATTGGTCACCGGCTACCATAGGACTGCATCAGATCTTTAGGTCGAAGGCTTCGGGTGTGGCCGCCTAAGAAAACCATCTGCTTCGGTCTGTGCACCCGGACAGTATCACAGCCCACATACAAATAAAGTGAGTTGTGTGGCACATATGTATTCGGTGACCCTTTGTACCAATATTTGTGTCCAAATAAATAAATAAATCCTTTGGCTACTGTTTGGTATGTTACTTATGTCTCTCCATGTTTAATAGACTGTATTAATTATTTATTTTATATACTGACACTTAATTTACGTTTTAAAAACAGATAAAGTTTATCAAGCCAAATAGCTTACTTCTTTTGCTTTGGCTACACTAAGATTCTGTGCTCGATAGTTTAGTGAATAGTTTAGAACTGCATCAGTAGTAAATTACTTGCTACATGTACATCGATCCAAGTTGCCATACCCCATTAGCACGGAGAGATAAAATTGTCAGGCCAAATCTCAGAATAGGAGAGGTAGTAGTAACAGTATCAGTTGTAATAGTAATGATTAGGCATGGAAGATACGATTCGAGAAAATATAAATTAGTAAAACAAAAAACGTTGGGGAATTTAGAATTTGGAGGAAGATAAAGAACGGATGCACCTGGGTCCCTGCAAACGGTTTCGATCCATACCACTCAGTCTCTAACCATTGGTTAGGATAATCACGCGGACTCCAACCAGGTATTCCACACCTATTAACATGGCTTAATCCAACTCTCAGTGACTTTAAAGACTGTTGACATATTTTGGTTTGGTCGCCCCTAGCTTTCTTCCAGCATACTACTACGCCAGACAAAATCGCCCGTCAAGGTAGGCGAAAGTTGGGCATATGAAACGCATGTCCCAGTCAAGAGTAGAATGCTGTGTTGAGGTCAGGAAATACCACTACAGTTGGGCATGTGTATGTCTACTATCAGGGTTTGTTGCTCTATCTCGTTTCGAGATTACATTTACTGTTTTCAATCCTCTCAAGATCTGGTGGACTTGAGTCAATTTCTCACTCAGTTTTTTGGGAACATAAGCTAATTGAAGGGAAATTTAGTGTTCGGGACATCGTTCTTAACTCCTAAATTGAGTGAATAATAGCCTTCTTCTTTTTTGAGATAGCCTCACTGACACATGCATTCCATACCTGTTTTCTTGATCAGTAGGCAGAGTTGTGTAGTGTTACCTATCGACTGTCTTTCCCATCCATTTTGGTTTTGTTGTTCAATACTCCTCAATATCGTTGCATATACTTTTCCTTAGTTTATGGTCTAGTCTCTTTTGTTCTTTATCGCTCTCAGAGACTGTCGGGATCATTTGTCGGACCTTTATCGGTTCAGTGGATGTCATCAAAACTTAATGATTTTTAATAATCTTTTGGTTTAAATTGTTGAGATGTTATTACTGTATTAACATCTGTCTAGATAACTCTTTAGGCTTCTTCAAGGTAATCTGTTTCTCTACGATAGGCTAAGTGGTTAGCCAATTTTTCCTCAGATGGATCATTGACCTTTTCATTTCTGAGTCGATATCTAAATAATCTTCCTGTTGTGAGTTTCTAATGTCTATTTCGATGTATATAAATGCGTTCCATTATTAAGGTAAGAATGGTGTTCAAGATTGTAATCTAATGCAAGCACTAGTCATTTATTGAGTCTCTCCAATGATGCTTAATGAAAATATGGTCCATTTGTGCCTATCGTTACGCTGGTGTCGGCAGGCGCCAGGTTAGAAACCGGCTTTCCTGATGCCTTCAAGTTTGCACTTGCTAGGAATAATCGGTCGTCTGAGCGACATTGCAACAGACGGTCACTTATCTATTCGTCAGGATGTGACACCGTTTTCTAGTTCAACTTATTCGGCCTATTTGAGCGCTTAAATCCCCTACTACGTTTATGCTTCTGGCTTTCCGGAAGAGATCATGAAGTTTCCTGTAAAACTTGTCATTTACTCAACCTGAGCTGCATTTAGCAGAGGCATGAACAGAAACGACGGAAAGGCCATGGTGTGTCGAAACCTTTCTCAATTTTTAATGCACAATTGAGACGGACAACACAAGAGACTTTCGACAGTAATCTAGTCGAGAAACGCCTATCCTGTCTTCATAATTGGTGCTATACCTACAGAGGCATGACCAAAACAAGTCGATCGCGTCTCCAGATACACGAAAGGTAAGTTTCGTTGGATCATTATGTTGACTAATTAATGTTGAGTGAATGAACATGCTGGGATTCTGTATACATGCTTCTAGAACACTGTATATATTAATAGCACGAGAGTCTACAGTCATGGTTAGTGACTTTAGTTGTCCAATTCGATACAAGGTTCAGGCATTACAAGCTCTTGTACATAATTTGAAACGAAGTTTCAGGAGACCGGTGATAACGTTTTGTGACAGTTAGTATTGGTAGCCCATATCGAAGTCGAAGACATGAAGGTTGATAGTAGAAGCAGGGGCAATATTTGATAGTGTGGTTTGATCATAAACGAGATGATCTTGTAAGTTGTCAGAGTCCACACTGGAATTGTAACTATCATATTCCATAAGCATCATTAACATAAAGCTTGTGAACATGTTATTGTTGCTCTTATTAACATTAACATCGAAACAACAATATTACTATGTATTCACAATTGGTGGAAAACATAAGTAATAGTAGAATTAATAAAAATGGATGCCTAGCAAATTACACAAAATAAAATATTTAGTGACGCACATAAATGCCGCAACGTTGCCCTTACAACGATCACTGCTTTCTTGGAATGAATCAATATTTATAGGACATGAGAAACATTTGCTAAGACAACGCAACGCTTCATCTTTCACTTCATGAGCAACCTAAATTAATAAAATCGAAAACAACAATAGTTCAAAGAATGTTATATCAAGATACAGTCAAACTCAGTAAGATTAATTTTACTGAGGAAATAACGTCTGAATATTTCAATGCACATCTTTCACGTGGTCTGAAAAAGTAAACGCTATTTTGCAGTAAAAATTATATTACTAACACTACTACTAAGTACTTATGCAAATGTAGTAGAACGTTTTGGGAAGACGAACACCTAAACACCTTAAGTTACGCACCTGATTCCACTTTAAAAAGACGTAAAATGGTGGCGATTTAAATGGCATACCTTGGGTAGTTAAGTGAACAAGTGATCCTGTAAACTGGTCTCAAATTATAAATCGACTTGTTATGCGCAAAGGATTTTCAAGGAGTGACATAAATGAACTAATATGTGCTACACATTCAATGTATTATTTGTTGAACTATGAAAAGTCTGCGCACACCAATAACAACACTTATAAAAATACAAACAACCACTACTACGTGAACGACTGTCACTAGCAGTAGATCTCCAGGTCACGTTACAATGCTAGATGAGAATTTTAGGTAATTTATAGTCACCATGAAACCTATATGGGTCAGAAATTAAATACAAGTTTTAGAAATCATTAGCTGTCACCAAACACAAGTAATAAACCACAAACTTTATTATCTAGGGAATCAAGGACTACCCACAGGGTTGTTATTACGGTTATTACAGATATTACGCGGGATATTTAAGTGCATATTTCAAATGAACAAAAACTAACCACACACGTACTAAACAGGTCATTTTGAAAGTGAAAATTAAGTTATTTTAGATTTATTAACAATAACAAGTGACATTACCTTTAGTGGAACTCTTCCTGCAACAAGAGAATAACCACTGACTTTCTCAACGGTTCCTGAATTTAACAAAGAAATGGGGGAAAGTGGCTCTTTTAGAGGTGAAACCAGTACTTTGACAATCCCTCCACCTAATGGATGAAACCCTCTGCCTTCATAATCAACGACTAATAAGCACTCACCGTCGAAGGACTTTTATCTCACAAACCAAACCCATTTTTCTAAAGTAATGTGATGTTACCTGTCAAACTTTAGTCTTTGTATTTTTATAAGTTACCTCAGTCATATAGTTGATCGGAGGTGCAAACAATGTGTCTGTACCACCACGCAACAACAGTTCACTCTGATTGGAAGCAAACGCTAACACTGGCGCTACAGCTTGTAGCATCAGTGAGACTGACCTTACATAAAGCTTGTAAATAGTTTTACTGACATACCCTGCCGTCTTAGCATCAGCTTCATACGAACCGGGAGAAATCTGACCAGGTATTAACCGAATTTCTGTAGATCCAACTGCACACGACGATAAATGACCACAGCACACTCTACTAGCGAGTTCGAGAGAAGCTGCGTGTTGACTTCTGGAAACGAAATCTACCATTAACAAAAATAACTACCTGAGACCTGGATTCTGTCTACCAGCTCGAATATTACACACCTCGATGGGTCTTTTCGTTATCACTGCTATCGAGACAGCGTTACGTAGGATTTGACCGCCCTATGCGAACATGATTTTCAGACTTAAAATGCACATACACTCTCCAACACAGACCCATCAACCAAGGTTACATGGGAGCTATCCAAATCACCCATCACACTTAAAAACAAACCTGAATTTCGGTCTTAAGCACTTAGCGTCTAGACTGACGGCACTTTGTGTGTTAGAGGATAGTGTAGACCAGCGTGTGAGGAAAGCTGGAAAAAGAGGAAGTAAGCCGAAGGATCTGGAGGCATATAGCATGCACTTACATTTAAGAATGAAAGCAATTAGTAAAAGTCAGTAACAACAACTACAACAACCTGATATACACGCGCCGTAGCATGAGATTTCGAATTCGTAGGAAACTAATATTTTGTACGCTACTTGAGCAACAAAAATTCCAATATTATTCTGAAAAAAATAAGAAATGAAACCCTCTTAAATTCAAGATTATAAGAGAAAATCACTAAAGGTTGAATAATTAAGGCTAAAAAAATATACATCAAAACGGCGGAAAACCTCGTGAAGACGGCTAGGAATTATCGATCGGATATATTTTGCACCCAATAAATACCGAAAATATATTGTTTTGTTAGTCTTCGAAATTCGATATTGACCTAATTAGTTTTACTTGACACGTTTAGCTGAAGTTACTCGGTCACACATCCGAATTAAATCACTAGTGTGTATGCCGTACTACGCATTTCTTGCGATCGTTAGCCAGCTTAGTTAAACACTTCCCGATATATCAATATCCTTTCAATTATGCATTCGAACCTTTTATTTCTGGACTTGCGAATCGACTGTGTTGGGATACTTTGATCATAAAGGTGTTACCTGTAAAGATTATGTCAAACTCCGAATGCCTGTTGCATCTTTAGTATGTTTGACATCATCACGTCGACGAAGTGTAGCGTAAACCAGAGTCACTGAAGTTATTCCTCCCATTTGGTTGACGACTTATGCTTGCTATGCATTGGTTTCATTAGAGAATTGATCGGATTTTTAACGCAAGGTATGTTTGCACATTTCGTCCTCCATGTACGGGAGCATTACTATGCGCAATTTCTTATCAGGTTGAAATGGTACTGCAGTTCCTGTAAGCTTTAGATTAGTCACAGTGTTTTGGTGAATAATACCAATGGAGTCGTAAGTCCTGTTTTGCTTATTATTATTTGAGTTACATATTTGTACTTAATAGACTGAAGTTTTTAGTGAGGAAGCAATGTATTTTGTCATTTATGGTTAGTTCGCATTCATTTATAGTTGATTTATGGAATATTTAAGATTAATTACGCATATTTATCTCTCTTAAACAAAAGGCCTACTTAGATGAAAAGATAACCAGGATACTTAGGAGAAGTATACTTGACTTTTGAAGGACTGAATCTGTTCAATTGTATACTTTTCGCCAAAATATCCGCTGAATTGTCTACTTTCCACACAACTATACGCCGAATTACACACTATTACCTAAATATCCTCTGAGTTATCTACTTTTCGCCTAAATATTCCACAATCAACCAACAAAGTGGAAATAAAGGCAAACAAAGCGGAAATAAAGTGGAAATAAAGGGGAAATAAAGGGTAAATAATGGGTAAATAATGATTAAATACAGAGGAAACTTGCACATTTATCTGCCTTTTCGTCTGTACGAAGGAAATAATGCGGATTTCTCAATTTTGTCGCTTTGTCACTCAATTGTCACTGAATTGTTTATTTTTCGCCTGCATATCCGCTGAATTTCTAGTTTCAGCCTGCATATATGCCCAATTGTTTACTGTTCGCCTAAATATCCTGAGGATGATACAGGTATTCAGTGTTTGACAACGCTTCTATCAGTAACACCTTCTAATATGCTTTGTTCCCACTGAGAGAAATCAAAAGACAGAGTCGAGGAGATCGGAAGAATGTATTTGGTGATAACCAATATATCGGGAATCTCTGATCTAATCTGGCTAGTGATTGCGGTTGATGTTGAGCACAGCGTTACAGCACGTGATCTGGTGCGGATGCATGACCGAGCGCCTTCAGCTAGATGAGTCCACTAAAACATATGGTCAGCATCCAATGTCGAAAACCTATTGAGCTATTTAGTTTGGGGATTTATTTACCGCTACAGATCACTCCCCCCCTAGTGGGGCAGTGATGACCCTAAGACGCGGCCAGCCAGAAGTTTAAACCCAACGAGTTTGTCGTTGGTAAACACTCTTCTGATAGCTTACTAAATTTAGCAGCGTCTGGTCGTCTTTCCTTACTATATGGGACCGAGGTACAACATAGTAAAAAAAGAAATGTACAATGAAAATTTCGTATCCTCATAAACGTCATCGTTCTTTTCCAGCCGTCCTGGAAAAGAAGAAAGAAAATGTAAGTGCATGTCGAAAATACACTCGTATGTGTGTAAAAAAAGGGAAAATAAACTCATGAAACGTAACAGCGTTAAAAAAATCGTTTTTTTTTGTTTTGTTTTTTTTGAAATAAAAATGAAAATATATAAGCCTATTAAAAAAAATTTATTTTTTAATAATATAGAAAATGTCGAGAAGTGCCTTACGTGCAATAGTCGTTTAAATGTTCTGGAAATCTCACTCTTCTTCCAGAACGCGTCGTTTTAAGTTTATTTTCGGATACTGTCGAAGTATTATCGTGTGTGTTGGTTGTCGGATGAGGTATTATAAGTGTCGGAGTCGTGTCGTTCAATTGTACCGAAGGAAAATCCACGTAGATAGGATTTCCTTCTAAATACGCTGCTTTGAGGCGATCGATGTTGATGCTATCGTTGGTTCCGTTCTTATCGATTATATAGTACTTCGGTTCGCGTTGAAGAACTTTGAAAAGTCCTTCGTATGCTGATTCGAAGGGTCGTCGATGCGAGTCTCGACGAACGAAAACGTGTGTACTATATCGTAGGTCAGGTTGAATGAAAACATCAGTTGATTGAGGTCACGTGGATGCAGGTTTAACGGAACGCATTGCGTTTGTAAGCCTGTTCGTGTAGGAGGTTAGATCCATGCTCATTGAAGAGGATGAAGGATCCACGAATTCTCTTGGAAGTCGAAGTGTCGTTCCATAAACGATTTGAGCCGCAGTGTATCCAATGTCAGCTTTCACTGCATTGCGGATACCTAGTAAGACGAGTGGAAGAGCGTCGGTCCACTGTGAAACGTTTGCAGCTGATAGTGAAGCTTTTAGTTGTCGGTGAAAGCGTTCTACCAACCCGTTTGCTTGTGGGTGGTAGGCGGTCGTTCGAAAGCGAGTGCTTCCTAATAGCGTGGTCAGACGACGGAAAAGTTCAGACTCAAACTGACGTCCGCGGTCTGTAGTGATGGTTGAAGGGCAACCGAAGTTTGCTACCCATCGTTCGACGAAGGTTCGGGCCACTGTTTCAGCAGTGATGTCCTTGATAGGTACTGCTTCTGGCCATCGGGTGAAACGATCTACACAGGTTAAGAGGTAAGAGTATCCATTTGAATCTGGTAAAGGTCCTATCAAATCCAGATGAACATGGTCGAAACGAGCGTCGGGAGTTTAAATGAGCCTAAAGGGAATTTATTGTGTCTGATGACCTTAGATTTTTGGCAGCTTACACAGGAGCGTGCCCACTCCCTCACGTCTTTATTCACGCCAGGCCAACAAAACCGTTCCGCCATAAGGTTGATGGTTGCACGAACACCTGGATGAGAAAGTTTGTGCCATGTGTTGAAGACATTGCGTCGATAATGTTTCGGGACGATTGGGCGATCTCTACCTGTAGATGTGTCACAAAGTAAGGTTTCCTTACCTGTTCCCATCTGTTTGATGCGTAGGTTAAGGGTTGTGGACGATAACTCTTGCTGAAGATCAGTGTCTTCTTTTTGAAGCTGGGCGAGTTTAAGAACGTCGATTCCTTGGAAACTGTTCAAGGAATTTATTCGAGACAAGGCGTCTGCAACTAAATTGTTTGCTCCAGAAATATGTTGAATATCTGAAGTAAACTGCGAAATGTAGTCCAGTTGTCGAGACTCACGGGGAGAGTACTTGTCTGAAGAGGAGCTTAACGAGAAAGTGAGCGGTTTATGGTCAGTGAATAGAGTGAATTCACGGCCTTCGATATAGTGTTGAAAATGCCGTACAGCACAATACATAGCTAGGAGTTCCCTACCGAATGTGCTGTATCTCGATTCGGTGTCTAGCAACCGTCTAGAGAAAAATGCCAAGGGTTGCCAGGAGTTCTTAACCCATTGTTGTAAGACTCCTCCGATTGCCGAGTCGGATGCGTCTACTGCGATACTAATGGGTGCTTCAGTGTCCTGATGTGCGAGCATTGTTGCTTTAGCGATCAGTTCCTTAACTGTGGAGAATGCTTTTCGTGCGGTGTCGTCCAAATTAATGGATTTCGCATTTCCACGAAGTTGGTCAGTAAGGGGTTTCATAAGTAATGCGCATTTCGGTATGAAGCGTCTATAGAAACTTACCAGGCCGTTAAACGTGCGTAATTGATTGACGTTGGTCGGTTCTGCGTAATCCAGAATGGTCGCCACTTTGGTCCTAAGAGGTCGAATGCCTTGAGCATCGATAGTGTGTCCTAGGAAATCTAACTAGTCGGTTCCGAATTGGCATTTCTGAACGTTTACAGTAATGCCATGTTTTTGTAATCGTTCGAAAACAAGATCCAGATGCTTGAGATGTGATTCTTTGTCCGGAATTGCGATTAAGCAGTCATCAGCATACGCATGTACGAAGTTGAGACCTCGAAAAACGTCGTCTATGAATCTTTGGAATGTTTGAACAACGTTTCTTAGGCCGAAAAACATTCGCGAAAATTCATAGAGTCCGAAAGGAGTTATGATAGCTGTTTTCGGTATGTCGTTAGTAGCCATAGGGATTTGGTTATACGCTTTAACCAAGTCGATTTTCGAAAAAACAGTTGTACCTTTCAAGGTGGCTGTCAAATCGTGAATATGAGGCAACGGGTAACGATCGGGAATGGTTTTTGCATTCAATCGCCGATAGTCACAAGTTAGACGCCAATTGTTGATGTCCTTTTTAGGGACCATGTGCAACGAAGATGCATAAGGGCTGTTTGACGGTCGTATGACTCCTAAGTCTATCATGTGATCGAATTCGTTTTTCGCTAACCTTAGCTTTTCAGGGGCTAGTCGTCGTGCTTTAGAGAATACAGGTGGTCCTGTAGTCGTGATGTGATGTGTAACATTGCTGGTTACACACAGTAATTTCGGTTGCGTTTGATGAATGCCGGGATACTTATCGAGTAGTGGTTGATAAAGTGGGTCTATCGTATGCTTAATTGTGACTGGGGATAATCTGCAACCAGAAAAAGAAGTTACGCAAACGGATAAATTAGTGTCTCCGT